TTTTTATGGATAATGATTATTAAGTTGAGGAAGTTCCCTTCTATTCCTAGCTTACTGAGAGTTTTTATCACAAATGGGTGTTGGGTTTTGTCAAATGTTTTCTCTGTACTTATTGATATGATCATATGATTTTTATTTTCTAGTCTATTGATACGATGGATCACATTCATTCATTTTTAATGTTAACAGTCTTGCATACTTGAGTAAAATCCTACTTACTCAAGGTGTAGAACTCTTTTTATATATTATTGAATTAGATATGCTAATATATTGTTAAGGATTTTGAGTCTATTTTCACAAGATACACTGGACTTCTTATATCGTCTTTGTTTGGTTTTGATATTAGTGTAGTGTTGGCCTCAAAGAATGAGTTAGGAACTATTCCCTCTGCTTCTATTTTCTAGAAAAGATTATGGAGATATTTTTTCCTTTAAATGGTATGATTTATTTTTTCCTTTAAATGGTATAATTTTTTTTTTCCTTTAAATGGTATAATTCAGGGCACCTGGGTGGCTTAGTAGGTTAAAGCCTCTGCCTTCAGCTCAGGTCATGATCCCAGGGTCCTGGGATCGAGCCCCACATAGGGTTCTCTGCTCAGTAGGGAGCCCGCTTCCTCCTCTCTCTGCCTATCTCTCTGCCTACTTGTGATCTCTGTCTGTCAAATAAATAAATAAAATCTTTAAAATAAATATATAAATAAATAGTATAATTCACCAGTGAATCTTATCTGGGCCTGGTGCTTTCTGTTTTGTAAGGTTACTAACTATTGATTCGATTTTAAGTTTTCATATATAGGACTATTTAGATGTCTATTACTTTATGTGTGTGTTTTGGCAGATTATATCTTCCAAAAAATTGGTCCCTTTCTTTTTTTTTTTTTAAAGATTTTATTTATTTATTTGACAGACAGAGATCACAAGTAGGCAGAGAGGCAGGCAGAGAGAGAGGAAGGGAAGCAGGCTCCCTGCCAAGCAGAGAGCCCGATGCAGGACTCGATCCCAGGACCCTGAGATCACGACCTGAGCCGAAGGCAGCGGCTTAACCCACTGAGCCACCCAGGCGCCCCAAATTGGTCCCTTTCATCCTGGTTACCAAATTTGTGGGCACAGAGTTGTTCATAAGAATATTCCTTTATTTTCCTTTTAATGGGCATGGGATTTGTAGTGATATCCCCCCTTTAATTTCTGATATTAGTAATATGTGTCTTTTTTCTTAGATAGCGTGGTTTGAGGCTTATTGATTTTATAATTTTATCAAAGAACCAGATTTGGTTTTGTTGATTTTATTTATTTTTTTTCTTTTCTATTGCATTGATTTCTCCTCTAATTTTTATTATTTCTTTTCTTCTATTTACCTTGGATTTAATTTCCTCCTCTTTTTCTAGTTTCCAAAGGTGGAAGGCTTTATTGATTTTAGATCTTTCTTCTTTTCTTTTCTTTTTTTTTTTTAAAGATTTTATTTATTTATTTGACAGAGAAATAGCACAAGTAAGCAGAGCAGCAGGCAGAGGGAGAGAGAGAAGCAGGCTCTCCGCTGAGCAGGGAGCCCAAGGCGGGGCTCAATCCCAGGATCCTGGAATCATGATCTGAGCCAAAGGCAGAGGCTTAACCCACTGAGCCACCCAGGTGCCCCTCTTCTTTTCTAATATATATATTTGATGCTGTAAATTCCTCTAAGTACTGCTCTCACTGTATACCATGAACTTTGGTAAGTTGTATTTTCACTTAGTTCAAAATATTTTAAAAACTTATTCTTGCATTTTCTTCTTCAACTCATGCATTATTCAGAATTGTGTTGACTGATCTTCAAGTATTTTGAGATTTTCCTGCTATCTTTCTGTTGTTTCTAGTTTAATTCCATTGTGGTCTAAAATCACATATCTTCATATGGCTAACACTGTCTTGTCTTTTCTTTCTCTCTCTCTCTCTCTCTTTTTTTTTTGAGAGACAGTGTGTGAGTGGGGAGGGGCCGAGGGAGAGGAAGAGAGAATCTTCATCAGGCTCCACACTGGCAGTGACACAGGGCTCAATTTCACTACCCTGAGTTCATAACCTGAACCAAATTCAGGAGATGGATGCTTAAACGATTGAGCCACCCAGGTGCCCCAGTACTGCTAACATTTTCAAACATCTCCCTCTCTACTGACTCCCTTTACCCTATAAAATTGCTCAAATCGCTTTCTGAAAATAAACAAGAAATACACTTCCCCCTGGCTTGCATTTATCTTGAATAGTTTCATCTCCTTTCTCTTCTCTGACAAGTCTCTTGATGTCTGTATGTCTTCCCTTGCCAGTTCACTTGACAATTCACTCCAATAAAAAGTAATCTGATGACTATCATTGATAGACCCCACATTACAAGTTCAATAGAACCTTTTTTTTTTTAATTTTTACGAGTCCTTCTGGATGAATGTACATTACTGCTTACTCCCTGTTCAAGACTCTTGGATGAATTTATATAACTGATTACTTACTCCTTGTTCAAGACTCTTTGGCTTTTAGGTCACTCTCCTCCTAGCTTCTGACCTCAGCAACACGTTCTTCTCTTTCCTAAACTCTCACTTGGAGCGATCTCTTTATTTTCATGGTTTCAAACATAAACATTTTACTGAATGAGCCAACTGTATGTGGTGCTATTTCCCGCTGAAATTCCAAACTGGGCTTTCTTTGCCCTGGATAAAATCTCAGGAAGGAGCCAGAACTTCTCCAGACCCTTTGTCACAAAAACAATCTTATCATAAGAACATTAAAATTTTCAGCCCATCTAATGTTATATCAAAATCTAACACTTCACTTAAATGAAAGCATCTCCCTACCCTCTCCCAGTTTGAGTCTGTGATGTAAGATTGAATATATTCTCTTTAAGTGTGGCAGTGAACTCTGTCCTTTTTTTTCTCTCTGGCATTTCTTGTGTCATCTCCCCTCATTGTAGTATAAGCTTCTTCTTATAGGAGATATCACATCTGATTTGAGTGGGGCTGACCCCACTGGCGCCCAGGAGACAAGAGTCAGCCCAGGCCTAACCAACCAGGATACCTCACCTCTCTCATCACTGATGAGTTGAGAGGTAGAGTTCATTAGAGCTAAGCCAACTGGAGCTGTTCCCAGATATTTGCTGCTAGAACTAGGGATACTTAGCTGGTAGGATGGATATGAGTCTTGAGACTAGTGGCCATTCTGCTCACCACAAAGACTGACAGAAAAAGAGCCCTGCATATCAGTTGAGACTCTGTGAACTCATCTGAGATAGATTTTACAACTTTCACTTGAAAAAGGCATGACAGATGACTTACAGGAAATTTAAAATCTTGAAACATTTCCAAAATGAATTATTTTTTCTTGCCCTTCTACTTTCACTCCTTCTATCTCTACGAACTCTCATATTTCCAAGTAAAAAAACCTGGCACTCAACTCTTTCCTTGTCTCCTGCATAAAACTGTTCTCAGTTCTGGGTGCCTGGATGGTTCAGCTGTTTAAATGACTGCCTTCAGCTCAGGTCATGATCCTGGAGTCCCAGGATCAAGTCTCATATTGGGCTCCCTGCTCAGAAAGGAGTCTGTTTCTCCCTCTGACCCTCCCTCTCTCATGCTCTCTCTCTCTCCCTCTCCCATTCTATCTCTCAAATAAATAAATAAAATTAAAAAAAAAAAACAACCCCAAACACAAATCTCAGTTCTATCTGTTCCCCATTCTAAATATCTCTAGAGTTCTTCCTTTTCTTTCTGCACATGCCCTGGTCCAAGTTCTCTTCCACCACTTGTCAGATCCTTACAATAGCCTCTTTTTCTGATTTTTCTTCTGTGATCTTACCTGATTAAAACTGTTCAGTCACCAGAGCTGTCATGCCAAAACACAAATCTGGCCTTACCACTTCCCATCTGAAAATACCTCAAATTTGATAAATGGTTTCTAAAATAAAGTCCAACCTGCTCATCAACTAACAAAGCCTTCCATGACCAGGTCTTGCCTGCCTCTTGTCTCCCACTTCCTTCCATCCAATTTATATTGGGCAATACCAAACTGTTACCTCCTGTTGACACCAATTACACAGTTCCTGCTCCCTCTGCCTGGAATGCCTCTCTTGTATCCCTTTTCACCTCTGCTAGGGCCTTAGTTCTTCTAGATAGCTGTTTTTAGCTGCTAGGCAAGGCCAAGAGCCCCCTACTTATGATCCTGTAATAGCCAGTAAGTAGCTTTTTCCATATTCTAGCAAAATCCTTTCTTTCATCTGTCTTTCTGATTGTAAGCAATGTTAATATGTGGACGTATCTTACTCATCTTTATATCCCCAGTGCCTGGCATTCAATATATGCTTTTTGATAAAATTTCAAGTTCCACAGTTTAAAATGAATCAATTTGATTAGAGTTATTTTTATTTTAAAACTCTATTGACATGGGTCATTAAGAGAATATATTTGGAAGGACAATACTGTGTATTAGGTAAAGAATTCAATCTGTAGAGTCAGACAGTTGGAGTTCCCAAGGTAGAATTCTGATCCTGCTGTGGTTATGCACAAGCTGTTTGACTTTGGCAAATTACCTAACTTCTCTAGGCCTGTTTTCTTACCTGTAAAATGAGAATTGTTTTATGTACTTCATAGTGCTGCATTAAAGATTATATAATCCAAGAAATACAAGTGCCTCTTACACTGCCTATATGGCACATACAAACATTCCATCCCAAGTAGCTGGTGTCATTATTGTTATTAATAAAGGCAGGTCTGGAAAGATGCCACATGTGGGGAAGAACACTGGGTGGGGCAGGGAAAGGCAACATCCCAACCTTGAAACTCTGTCTATAGCAAGCTCAGTTCAAAGCAGAGTCTGGTTCATAGACCAGATTATTCTATGTTCACAAGAAACTGGGGGATCTTGTTATAGGTATTTCTCAGTCACTGACACACACACCCCACTCCTTATCTCTAGCTAACATGTCATCTGCCCACTGGAGAGAGAACTTAGAGTAATTCAGAAGAAAAATTAGCTATTGCCTGCCACCTATATAATTCTATGTGGTTTACAAAACTTCTTCAGATTCATGATTCATCTAGACTCTGTCACAAACCGTGGGTTGGCATTTTTGTCTCCATTTTATAGGTAATAGAACCAAGATTCATAGAAGTTTAAATAACCAACTCCAAGTCATGGAAACTAGGATGTTGCTGAGTTAGGATTCAAATGAAGGCCTTTTGATTCTAAGTCTAGGGCCTTTTCTAACACACGGTAAGAGATCAGGCAAAAGGGAACACAAAAATGGGATGGGGATGTAAGGCAGAAAGGCCATAGGATAAGAAAGAACTAGCTGGCAAGGACAAAATCAGAAGGGCTACCATCCCTCCTAAGGAGTAGAAGAATGATAAATACGTGTTGGGGCAATGAAGGCCTTATGAGCATGTGAAGAGGGTAATATGAATTATGAATATGAATTATTTTCCTTTGGCAAGGAAAATAACTTATCTGGAAAGCTTTGAAGAAATCATTGACTCTCCATTTTACAGATGAAAAAGTCCAGATGTAGGGAGATACCTGATCACCCTTCAGTTTCATACCATTAATGGGAGAGCCAGTCCAAAGACTAGCCACAACTTACTGGTATCAGTGTGTTAAAATCTTGAAATGCCTTTCCCTTTTTAAAAATAGCTTTACTGGGGAGGTGATAGCTGGCTGGTTGGCTCAGTCCATAGAGCACGCGACTCTTGATCTTGGAGCCATGAGTTTCAGCCTCATGAGCATAGAGATCACTTAAAAAATAAAAAACAAAAAAAATTTTTAAAAATAGCTTTTGGGGATATAATTCATATACCATAAATTTCACCCATAATAATTACTCAATAATTTTGAGTAAATTTATACAGTTGGATAACCATCACAATCCAGTTTTAGAACATTTCTGTTCTAAAAAAACACTGAAATACTTCAGTAGTGGTTAGTAAATAGCCACTTCCCTCAAATCCCCAAAAGAATCACCCTTCAATTCTCTGAATCACTCCAGACCTCTCTATGATCTATATACAGTATCTGGTCCACAGAGGAAGGAGCATCCATGTCCTTGCCCCAACACTGAGCAGCTTCTGTTCTTCCTGGTTGGTACCTTTGCTACATCTGTGCCCCATCTGTTGTTAAATAATGTTTGTGTCACCCCTGGAAGGATCAAGGCAAGCATTTAACTCCTCTGGTTCCTGATCCGAGCTTTTCACATAACACCCTGCTTTTCAGAAAGATAGAAAATTAAGTAAGTGAACAAAAGAAAACAAGAGCTATGAAATTATGTCTACATACAAGATAGACAGGTTTTGAAAGGTCAAGAGATTGAGCTGGTATTTATAGTGATGGTTACCTCTTCAGTAAAGGTATTCTTATCTTGAGGTTTATACACTTCTGGTAATGGATGAACTTCTGAAGATCAGGTACCTCCCTGAAATACAAAATTTCATGAGTATGCACATTTTTCTGTGGAGTGGGTCCATGGACCAAAAAAAAAAAAAAAAAAAAAAGCCTAACTTGCTAGGAACATGTTTGGTGAGAGGTTTGGGGGAGAAGTAAAAAAGGAATGTGCTCAAAGAGTACATACATGGGGAAAAGAATTTTAGCTAAAGGGATAGGGAAAAGAAAGAAAGTGAAGACAAAGATCTCCTGATTCACGGTTTTATTTACAAGCCAGATATGTATGTGAATCAACTATTTTGACATGTAGAATAAGTCACACAGATTAGGTCACATAAATAAACACTTGATTATTTTGCTAACTTTCTTTGTCCTCTGTTAGGAGATTCACATGAAATGACTAATTTGGGTTATGCTTTTCCTAAAGTACCACTCTCAATTGTAAATCTGGAGTTTTGGTACTTCATTAAATCCCACCTATGGCTCAACTGGATTACATTAGCATTTTAAAATTGTTAACTATGGCCTGCCAGTAGGGCTACATAAATTACAATGAAGTCAAGTTCATTCCTAGTATAGCTATAAATGTGAGTTTTAAATTCAAAATAGTACATCATTCCCATTGCATTTTATCTTAGACTTTTAAAGATGGTATTTTGGACATATTTAAATTTTTGATGATGTCTACTAGGCACATGGAATTTGAAATCTGGAAGAAAACTTGGAAGATTATGCAGTCTGATTTGTTCATTTTATTGATAAATAAACCCAGAGAGATTAAGAGCCCTGACCAAGCTTGCTCGTGACAGAGCTAGGACAAGGCTACAAACATTGGATTCTTAGCTTGGTGCCTTTTCCAACATTCATTTGACAAACTAATGGTTACTGAACTGTGACATTTTTCTGATGATATCAGTCAGTACAAGAATATGAACAAACCGTCTTGAGCCTGTGGAGACAGGCTCAAGCAAAGACTCAACTCTTCCTTTTCACACTCTGACAAGAGGATTCTCATAAGACTGCTCCTAACTCTCCAGTCTAGTGAATCACTAGAACTCAAACATTCATAAATTATGTAATATTATCAATATTGTGGCATTTGCCCAATGATCACTTTGTGAGTTCTCCAAGTTACTGGACTCTGGTTTCCAATATTTCCTCCCCTTTTCTGCCAGAAAGTTCAGCTGCTTTTAGTATTCTGTGTCACAGCCTCTACCTTTGCCTTGGTGGGGACAACGTCAGGCACAAACATAGCTTGTGCATGCCCTCTTTTTTTTTTTTTTTGTCCTCCAGGGAGGTTGAGGTGGGGTAGTTTGTGAGATGAGGGAGAATCACCTTCTTGAACATGATGGTCATTTGTAATTGATGTGGAAATAAAAAAATTATCAAATCTAAGAAAAATAATAATAATCGCTTAATATAATCTAATATGCATTTTATGTTTAAATTTCTCCAATTGTTTCAAAAATATCTTCTTTACAGTTGGTTTGAGTCAGGATCCAAACAAGGTTAACATGACTGCATTGGGTTAATATGTCTCTTAAGTATCTTTTTTCGCAAACGGTGCTATTAAAAAGATTCTTTAAGGGCATGGGAAATTTTAATTTTACTATTATTGAACTGTTTTCCAAAGTGATTGTCCAAATTTGCTCCTATAGAGCTCTTATAGAGAGCTTCACTCTGCTTTTGGTATTGTCAGACATTTTGCCTGTTGCCTATGTGATAGCAAGCCCCATACTGTAAAGAAATATGTAAGCCTTATCTTCAAACACTGCATAAGTCAAATGTTTTAGACAGAAAAATATTATGCTCCCTGGAGATACTATATGTTCCACCCCATCTGAAAGTCACTGTTTTAGCTCCTGAGTACATCAGGATCTTTCCATTATATATTAATAAAAACATGAAGAAGATAGTAAGCATATACCACTTAACATTTCCCAGGAAAGGTATGACTGGTACTGACTTTTCCCTCCCCTGAAGGTCCTTTTTAAAAGGACCTTTTTAACATAAAGCCCAAGGGACCAGATGTTGATTTTACTGAGGAGTGTTAAGAATTCTGTTGACTCCCTTTTCTTATTCATATGTCATGGCAGGTTGTTGGTTCTGACGATGTCACAATTCTTTGCTTGTGGAGTCATCTGATGTCACTTATACCTTAGGAAGAATCAAAATAAAATGAACTTTAGATGGTAAAACTTGATCTTCTGGAGAAATTTTCAGAGATCATGGGGATAAAGATCTCCAGAAGAAAATATATATGGAAAAACTTTCCACTTTCATTGAGATATATGGGTTTTACTCACAGTTGAAATGTTAACAACACAACTGAGCTGACACCAGATACCTTCCAGATGATTCCCTGGTTGCTAAGAGCCTCCAAACATTCCTCAAGGACACCTTTTGCACAACAAAGGGAAAACCAGCCCATTTCTGGCACTAGGATGGAATTCTAAGAGGAAAAAGCAAACCAGTGTAACTTTCTCTCCATCAATTAAGAACAGTTGGTTTAATATTACACTATAGGATAACTGGTGTATTTTAAAGATCTTTTTCTTTTTTGAACACATTTTACATTAGGGAATTTCCTGGAGAACATAACGATTTTTTTTAAAAGATTTTATTTACTTATTGTCAGAGAGAGAGATCACAAGTAGGCACAGAGGCAGGCAGAGAGAGAGGGGGGTAAGCAGGCTCCCCGCTGAGCAGAGAGCCCGATGGGGGGCTCCATCCCAGGACCCTGAGATCATGACCTGAGCCAAAGGCAGAGGCTTAACCCAGGTGCCCCGATTTTTTTTTTTTTTTTTTTTAAGATTATTTGAGAGAGAGCCAGCACCAGCAGGGGAGAGGCAGAGGGAGAGAGAAAGGGAGAAGCAGACTCTCCACTGAGCCGGGAGCCCCACGTGGGGGGCTCAATCCCACACCCCTGGGATCATGACCAGAGGTGAAGTCAGGTGCTTAACCGACTGAGCCACGCAGGGGCCCCCAAAATGACCTATCTTTAGAGTGGGAAGGAGGATATTCTACATTGCTCTTATATTTAAGTCTTACAGAAATTTCTTAAAAAGAGCTCCAAGTTATTAAAATGACAGATTTCAAGCTTTTGTTCTGCTAAAGTAAAAGCCTACTACTCAATATGTCAGCCATTTAAATTTTCAAAAGAGCAAGAACAGGATGTGTAAGTCTTTGGCTTCCATTTTCCTCTTAACCAATGACATCTTCAGTTTTTGGAAAGCTTTTTTAAATGTGGCTTCCGATAAATGTTGGCAGAACTGGTGCATTCCCAGAATAAATACTGAATGCTCAGCTTTCCCTATTCAAATACATCCCTAGGTCGAATGACCTCAAAACTGCCCACTGTGAAACAGGCAGAGTCCAGATGTGATAGAAGGGGTAAGTGTATCCTCAAAGTGCACTGGTACATTAAAAAAAAAAAAAAAATCACGTCTAGGGTCAAATCTCTAAACAAATGTGGATGTCATAACCGTAACTATTACTGACACATGAAGTTTAAAACTGACGGGTTGGAGTAGAGGGGAGAAAACAGCACACGAACAAAAGAAAAACTTCAAAAATTTCTCTTCCCTTTCAGGCAAGTTTCAGCTCTACAAATGTACCCTTGCCTTTAAAATAATCAACGTGTTGTTTTGCTCTCAATCCTCATCCCATAGTACAAAGAAATCTGTGTCTTTCTCCCCCAAATTAGGAATATGAGAAGCCTTTCAGACCGTAAAGACTAGAAAGCAGCCCCACGGAAAGTGGTATCCCGCCCGAAGGATGTGAAAGTGGGCATGGTGGTGTGGAGAAGACATCGATGGGGGTGGGGGGGGGGGAGAAACTTCAAACCATACACCTGTGGTTGAAAAAACAAAACAAAAAGAAAAACCCATGGGACCGGAGATCATCAAGATTTTAGTGTATATAGAGAAAAAAACAACAACCGTGGCCAGGTCAGACCAGAAGCGGCGTTTCTTGGGCGACAGGAGTAGCGGGTGGGGCAGCCGCAAACGCTGGAGACCAGGATATGACTGAAGGTACCAACAACGCCATTTACCTCGCTCTAGCCTGCCCCTCCCCCCCCCGGAGGCTCAGAGCGCCAGCCAATCCCCTCCCGCCGTCCCCTTCCCACCGGAGGCCCCGCCCCCGGCGCCCAGGATGCTGGGCCCCCGCGGCGTGACGCGAGCACGGCAACTCCGCCCCCTGCGTCTCTGGCCTCGCCGGCCTTGGGGGGATGGTTCCATCATGGCGTCAATGCAGGTGAGAGGAGTTTGCAGCATCTGGGCGGGCGAGGGAGCCGCCGAGAGGACGCAAGCGTTTTGTCGGGGGCGGCGTCTGGGACTCTGGGGCACCCGGACGGGCTCGGGAGTGGCTCTGGTGGCAGGTCCTTTCCCAGCTTCAGGACGTTGGGGAGGGGTGAGAGGTGGCGAGAAGGGCGGGGGAGGGGGTTCTCGGTCGGTCGAAGCGGACACCAGCCGGCTGGGAAGTTGGGTGATAAAGAAGGCTAAGACGAGGAAAGGGAGAAGTTTGGCGTTGGCTCAGCGGCAGTGGTCTCGGAATCACCTCTTGCTCACTCAGATGTTGGCCTGCCCGCCTGCCTCAGGGATGCCTTCTCCTTGGTCCCCGGCCGGGCGGAAACAGCTGCTCTCGCCGTTGTCGCTGGGGCAAGGGCGGCCCTGAGAGGGGCTGAGTGCGGGGGAGCTGAAAAGGCGTTCCGAGAGAAGGCGGCTGGCTGCAGAAGCGCTTTGCGGCCTCTGCCCAGGCCTCCCACGCCCAGCTTCCCTGACCGCCCGGCCCTCGGCTCTCCTCTCTTTGACTCTTAATCCTTTGCCCCGTGGGTACCTTTCTCTGTTGGTCTTCGCACTTTCAACGAATATTAGTCCGGCAGCTCACTTTGTCGCTCTTCCCGAAGCTGCCCTTGGCCCATGAATATCATTTGCCGCCTAATATGCAATCTTCCTGAGATCTGAGTCACCAGCCCCTTTATACCTCCGGGATAGCTCGCCCTCAAAAAAATTTATTTTTCCCCTACGGTGCCCCACCCTTATGGTCGCGGTAAGGCTACAGCCTTTTGCCCCTCTTCCCTAGATCTTTAGTGGAATCTTAGTTTGGTAGGAGGCGTTTATTAGCCCGTGTCCTATCTACCTGACTTAGCAGTTCATGGTTTTCTGGCTTTCCAACTTATGCACTCCTTTTTTCCAAATCCAAGGAGTTCGAATTTTTTTTTTTTTCAGGCAAAGATGGCATCCACACTGCAGTTTTGTAAAGATTGTCTCTGCATTATCTATAGCCTGCATTTAATTTTACTAGCTCGAATGAGAACATATAGGAAGAGAAGGTAGAACTGTTTGGAGTGGCAGCTGAGTGCTTTTTAGAGTTTTAACATCTTAAAGACACCTACGCTTTTCTTAGCATTTAATGCTTTTGTTTCTGGAAGAATAAGCAAGCCTTCCTACCCTCCCCCCCCCCCCCCCCCCCCCCCCCTCATTTCTAAGCGAGAGCAGTTTTTCTTCTGTTTTCTGCGTCTTCCTCTTTTGCACACATATTTGCTTCACGTTTACTTCTGTGCTTTTGTGTTGTCTGTCCCCTTTCAACCTATTTTCCATGCGATATTCTCTTTACCTTTGCTTCTTCCCCTGGATTTTCCTGCAGAATAGAATAATGTCTTAACTTTCCTACTTTCCGCAGATCAGTGCTGGGGGGAAAAACAAGAACAATTTGAGGAAACATTATACTTTACACTGGTTTCCCCAGAGACCTTAGAGAAGTTTCGTCATTTGAGGCCAAAAAAGGAACTGTGCAACACTAGTTGAACAGGAGATGTATAAAATAAGATTATTTGTATTAAGATCAAAACTATTTAAGACTAAAAATTATGGTTAAAATCCACAACGCTTGTGATTATATTTGATAAGAGAATTATTGGGATAACTAATTAGCTGGTTAGATTCAGACTTAGAGTCTGAAAAAGGGCAGATTTCCATTTTTAAGAGAAAAAGTGAGTATAGAACTGAAGTCAGTACAGAACTTAATGTTGATAATCTTGAATTTTACATGGTGACTTAAACAATAGAAAGAAAAATGCATGCCAGTGAAATACTGCATTTTTCTGTGTCCCAAGTATTACCAACTGTCTTACCACCTTTTATTCCTTTGTGTCTTCTGATTAGAGGAATGGAAAACTGATGTTTACTATTTTAATTAAAACCGAATCTTTCCTTTTGTTTGTATTTTTGAAATAATTTGATACAGGTTTTCTGGTAGTATCTTGAAAACTAATCTAGATAAATCAAGCTTTTTGAAACACAATACTACTTTTCTTTATGGTTATTCTGTCTTTGCTGAACAAGATTTTTTCCTTACCATCTTAATAGCAAAATTTTGTTTTAAAGATTCCTATTTTTTTAAAGTAATCTTTGCACCCAGCATGGGGCTCGAACTCAAAACCCTAAGATCAAGTGTTGCATGCTGTACCAACTGAGCCAGACAGGAGCCCCTTAATAGCAAAATTGAACTGTTCAGAACAACTAAATTACATGTAAGATTGCAACCAAATTATGAAATTTGTTTATTCACTCATAAATTTCAAGGGCCCACTGTGTCTGATACGGATCTCGGATCATGGTGTTGTGGAGACAGGGCAGTGAACAAAAGCAAACAAAGATTTCTGCTGTAGGTGGGGGAGACAGATAAGAACCAAATATTTAAGTATTCTGTTAGGTGATAATACTATTAAGAGAAAGTGTGGAAGAGAGTTAGGAGATGGGTATTTTTGGGGATTTCAGTTATAGTGCTTAGGGAAAAGTATACCATACACAGATGCTGCTCTGACCATGTCCTTACCTAAAAAGTTTTCAGATTTCTTTAGCTTATTCCAGGATATTATTGCTGCTGAGATTACTTAAGCTGTAAGAAGAACTATTTTAAAAACCTACAAATTATAGAAATGTAATATAGGATTTGATTACTTGGTAGAAAGGAAATAGTCTTCAGAATCAACATCACATAAGGTTGGACTTTGGCTTTTTCGTTGGAGAGTATTTTGAAGTTGAGGTTTTAACTCTTTTAATGTACTCTATCAGGTGCCTCCTAACTTTATCTCAGGTGGTGCACGTAGAAAATAATTTTTGAATTACACACTAAGGTGGATGAAGTGAAACACTGGGAATGAGTATCAGTATTCTGACATGTCTAATGCTTGGGTTGCTCTACTCTGTAATATTGCTAAAGTTGGTCTTCAATATACAGTTCAAGGTTGTGGTTTTCAAACTTACTTGAGCCTTTGAGATATTCTTTTTTTTTTTTTCCTCCCTCCCCCCACTGTTTCTTACTAGAACGACGTTGCAAATTAACAAGATTATGGTTAGATTATGTTTTAAGAAAGCTTTCTTAAAGAATTGTAGGCTTCTGGCAGTACTTAAAAATATCAGGAGTTAGTGTAAAGAAACATCTCCATTTAATTGTGTTAGTTCTAGAAATGTTAAATAACTCTTGTAGATTTTCTCCTTTCTTTTTCCTCTCTTGCCTAATGGGGGTCTTAACTGTTGATTTGACTAGATGGAAGGAGAGTAAGATTTAGTAACAGATTATGAATGTGTGCTTATTTTCATATGACTTCGAAAGAGTGTTATGTTGTTTTATTCACAACTCTGCACTGCTCTTTACTCAAGTGTCTGGCTGTGGTGATTGAGAGAGGTAGAATATGGGTTCTGACTTTTTTAGTAGTCACATTGCCTGGACAGACTCCATATGATTATTGTTTGATGAGGCCGTGAAGGGGTACAGCATAATCAAAACTTAGAAAATGGATTCATCTTAGATCCTGAGGCTTATTGAATACTGGGAACTTCGGGGGGGCGGTGTATATGCCTAGAATTATGTATCTGAGAAGGTTAACTCGGTACTCGGCTCGGTGTAGGGAGCTGTTGGGACAAGTCAGGGAAAGGGGAACAGTATAGAATAAAACGGAAGGTACTTTGTTTGAATGAGAAATCTAAACACAGGTGGAGTACAGGTGAATAAGGGATAAAGCTAAGATAATCATCTTAACTTTCAAAGCAGTCACTGTGATACTTTCTTTTAGCTGTTAATCAATTACCGCTTAATTAGACAATTTCTATTTTTATCCCAAAGTGTGTGTTTGTGTTTCATTTAACTTTTCAGGTCTCTTCCACTCCCCTGGGCCATATATCTCAGGAGAATAGGAAAAATACCTTTTCTTTGTCTCTTAAAGTCACCTGGTGATTACAGTAAATGTTTAACACTTCAAAAAATATTTCTAATTAGCAAGTTCTGCATTAGTTTAATTCTGTTTTAGAGAAATCTTTTAAGCAATTCTATAATGGTAAGATTGAGTCCCTATAAAGGAATAACTTAAAGGTGATGTTTTTATATACATATTCCCCCAAAGTTGGCTTATTTTCTTGGTTTATATGTTTGCCATAACCTTAACGGTTCTCAAAGTCTTTTTCTGTTCTTTTCTCCTTGGATTCTTACTCCAACCTTGTAAAATGGGAAGTCAGATAATCCTATTTCATTTCAGTAGAAACAGAGAGTGACTTTAGGTAAGTGGTCACTTATTTGGAAAGCGACTTACCCCAAATTAATAGCAACTGAGTGCTGAAGCTGCGATTAGAAACCAAGCTCTGAAATCTGTTGATGCTATGAAGTTGTATGTAATTAGTATGTTAACAAGTTTGGCATTGTAAAGAAATCATTGGGATAATTTTCAGTCAAGAAGTAAACATTTACTGGGATAATATTTTGTAGCTTCTATAGCTAAGATGGGAGAAAAATATTCCTTCTATTTTATAATATATTTTATGCATACATTTTAAAAAGGGTCTTTATGCATGTACTTATGCACTGAATAAAATTATGGCAGATCTTTACTGTTCAAAGATAGTCTTTATTATCAAGGAGAGTTTTTATTTATTTTTTTTAAGATTTTTTAAAAAAATTTACTTATTTGACAGAGATCACAAAGAGAGAGAGGAGGAAGCAGGCTCTCCGATGAGCAGGGAGCCCGATGCAGGGCTCGATCACAGGACCCCGGGATCATGACCTAAGCTAAAGGCAAAGGCTTAAACCACTGAGCCACCCAGGCGCCCCATCAAGGAGAGTTTTAAAAGTAGAAGTGATCTGGCATCTTTCTGAAAATATAGTTCTGCATAGTGTTTATTTGAATTGAATATTTGTTACATGTTATTTCTTTGTATCACTGCTCTCTGCATTAATTTTATTTACAAAATACTTGTTCG